CTTTGTATTTGTGAAATATTCTTTTTTTTTTCTTTTTCTTTTTTTTTTTTTGAGCTCCAAAAGAAATCTGTTTAATTAGGAGTACTTTACACACTTGACTTAAGGTCTACCTTCAGCAGTGCAAAGGACATTGCTCGTTGTATTCCTTTTCTAGAGAAGTTTCACCTTAGATCTAGGAATGGGCTGAAGGTTTTGCAATGTTGGGGGAAAATCCCTCCACCGGATTTTGAACTTGCCTTAAGTACTGGGAAGGCTTAAGAGATTTATGTTCCGAAATATTTTTCTTCTCCACGTTCGAAGTTTAGCTCTGGGGCTCATGTGGAAAAATAAAACAGGGAACAGATAGCTACCTGAAACGCCTTCCACTCCTGAGTGACCCTGCTTGTCAGGGTTCAAAGTCTTCGCTTTGAATTAAAAACTATAGGTGAAGTCATGGCTGTTTCTCAGTTTGTGGGGAAAAAGCTGAACTTCCTTTAAGCCAGGTCTTTACCCCAAGTCTCTTATTTTTACCTCATTACACTTCCTTTTTCTGCTTGGAAGCAGAAGTTTAGAAATTGTAATAGACCTCTTCCTGGCTGTGTTTTGTTTCTGACCAGAACCCAGACAATCCTGAGTGTTGCAATAAAACATGCTGTGATAGTGCCGGTCTGTATTTGCATTGATAAAGTTTGGGCAGGAATCTCCTTGTACTCAACGCTGGACCCTCTGATGTTGCCTTACTGTCGTGGAGCTTTGCTAGTCCTGGCTTTATAGGGCTTCTGTAAATTGGCTTCACAATGTGGTTTTGAATTTGTGGTAACCCTTTACTAGCAAGAAAGTTTTTCTTAGTTTCCCACAGTTGGTCTGTATTTAGCATTTCCTGTGCATGCTTCCTTTGCTTGTGCCTTGAGCACGCTGAAAATAGGTAGAAAACCGAGTATAGAGAGGAGAGATGAAGAACGTGTCTGTTGTCTAAATTGCTTGCAGAAGCATAGTGGAAATATTGGAGGATTCTTTTTGTGTAAAACATCCTATAGGAAGATTAAATAATGAAGCAGGCTGTCTTTAAGACTGTCTTTAGAAGTACAGAACTACTTGCAAAGGCTGGTGCTAGAGTTATGCAAAAGAGCTGGCCTTTATGTTCTCTGAATGAGAAACGATTAACTTTGCACTTTGCACATTAATTTTTACACATTAACTAAGTCACAAGGCTGTTTCGTTGTCCACGTTTTGGCATGACATTGCTGCTGAATGCGGATGACTCATTTACTTGCCAAAAACGTGGCTTATGCTTTATTTGTACCCTGGCTATTCGGTCTGTGCTGCCTTTCCTGCGGTAAAGTCACCCCTGCTCCATTTCCCCAGGGACTGCCTTCCTCCATCAGGAACCTTTCCGAGGGTCTCACGATTCTTCTGGTTTTCTCTTGGGGCTGTGGGCGCTCAGCGGTTGATGACAACTGGTGGGACATCCCAGCCTGGGTGCCGAGCTGCACCAAAGGCCGACGGCCTCAGGAAAAACGTTCTCATTAGTGGCTGTGCCCAGATGCAAGCACCTGGTTTAAAAGTGCACGTGCAGGAGGCTTCGTGCTGCTAGTGGCCGGCTCCTTCTTTGGTTTAGGGTGACTACCTGGGAGTCCTTCTAGCCTGGAGTTTGTAAAGCCGTAACTCGGCCCTGTGTTAGGTTTGTGGTGATGGCAGCAGCAGAGAGACTGAGGACGAGGTGCTTTTGAGGTACAAGCACGGTGGCTGGGGGTGTTGCCATGTTGTGTCTGTATTCATAGTGGAGGATTATGACTCGGTGCATGCCGAGTTAATGGTTGGTTAATGGTTGGACTGGATGATCTTAAAGGTCTTTTCCAACCTGAACGATTCTATGATCCTATGCTGGGGAGTCATGGTGCACCTGCCTGAAATTTCCCAAAAACCTGAGAAACCAGAATACCATTGCTCTCCAGCCATACCCGTGTTTACCAGGAAGGCTTCAAAACCCAGCAACAAATGCAGTCAGGGGTTACAGTCAGGATGGGAAAACTTGAAAATAACTACGGCATTATTCATGTAACACTTCTAGCCATGCAGTAGGGAGAAGTTTTTGTCAACCCGGAGCACCATGCTCTTCCTGCTGTGGTCACTTGGATGTTTTCCACAGCTTCCATGGAAGCAGGGGCCAAACTCTGAACCCTTTTAGGAACTGCGTGAGCTGCTTTCCAAGCTGGTGCTGGCCCAGCTGAGCAGAGCGCTTCTGTGGGTAACAAAAGGCCCTGCATCCCGTCTTGAACCTTGTGTCCTGAGTGACTGTGATCTGATTCAGAAGTCAGGATGCTGCATTCATTAGGTTCGGGATATTAACACTGCACAAAAGCTATGAAGGAATAAGGAAAAAGTTATAAACTAGATATATAACTTTAGTCTAGTCTACCCTTGATTGGCTTAGAGTAGACTTGGTAGTGTGGGTTAATGGTTGGACTGGATGATCTTAAAGGTCTTTTCCAACCTAAACGATTCTATGATTCTATGATTCTGTATGTAGCATGGTTTTTTTTTCCGGAAGCTCTGTTTTCCCCTGGAAACCTCAAAGCCTTCCAGAGGGAGCTCACCTGGAGGAAGGGTACAGAAAGCTCCATCGCTTTGGCCTTGCTGCAATAAGTTGGTTTTGCTTCTGGTTGTCCTAGGGATGGCAGTGGGAAGCAGAGCTCCCTTGTGGGCCTCTCTGAATTTCCAAGTTTCTCTGACACTTTCAGGGAGATGCAACTTTTTTTTTTTTTCTTAGAAATGTTTTAACGTGAATGAATTATCTCTATCCAATTTAACTTTTTTAGGCTCACTTTTTAGCATGTTTCAAATAAAATACATCTTTTAGTCCAGCAAATGGAAAAGTGGCTGCTTTTTTTCCAGATGAAGAATACTGAAGTAAAACTTTATTTTTTTAATGCTAAATTAAAACCAAACAAATTCTACTGCAGATTACTCCATCTTAAACCTTAAAAACAAACAAATTCTACTGCAGATTACTCCATCTTAAACCTGGGGGCAGAGCCGCTTGTACTGTAGTGTTTTGAGTGTGGAAGAAGCCCTTAAAAGTTCCTAGTAATTCTGCATTGTTTTCACTGGGTTTGGGGCCAATTTGGCTAAACACGGTGCTCAATAACCCTAGAAAATGTTAGAAAGAAAGGATATAGTGGGCAAATCCTGTCATCGCATTTTCTCCGTGATGATGGATAGTTAGCCCAAGAGTGTTGCTTCCTCCTCCATGGCTGCCCTTGCCCAGTTGATGCCATTCTGGAACGGAGAAGAGGTGGACAGTCGCACGTGGATCCAGCTCTCCAGGCCAGAAAGATGGGATGCGCTTTTTGGGTTATACACCTTGGTTTTTTTGTACAATTGAAGGCACGGCAGGATGGAGGTGCAGTGTCCCCAGCCCCACATTTAGTGCTCCTACCACCCCAGGGACTTTTCCTGTCCCACTTTCACTACAAGAGCATAGTGTTGGAGGAGGAAGAGGTGAGGTTGCTCACGGTGGTGAAGGCAATGGTGGCCTTTGAGCTAAAGTGGTCTCATCCTTTCCCTGCATCCCTAAAAAGGGGTGGGAGGAAGAAGCCTGTATGCCTGCAGACATGGAAATGGGAAAGAGATTTTTCCTCAATGAGAGGAAGAGTTAAAGGAAGTTTTAGGAACTGCTTTAATCATTAGCACTGCCTGAAAACGCGATGCATGTGAAGAAGAAAAAAAACCTCTTGAGAACTGGTGATGCTATTCCTTTTCCTGATATCTCACTTGGTAGAGAACCTGCTGTATCTGAGCCCCAACACAGCAGGATCTTGCACGACATGTGCTAAATGTCTCTAAGGGTTAGTTTGATCCCGGTTTCATCACTTGGGGCATCTGGTCCCGGTAATTTTGAGGTACAGGCAGTGTCCCAGAATGTGAGAGTGGCGTGGGATGAGAGCTGTCTGAAATGAAGGATGTCACCTGCACTTGGAGGTAATTGAAGGGCAGGCACCAGACGTGGCTGGAGGGGAAGGAGCCAAAAAAGGTAAAGGAATTAGCAAGTCCTAGCTTCAGTGTGAGGAGTGTTCGATTTAATTAACATGTACAGCACTGGGGGAAGTAATGAACTGCTCGTAAGCTGCATGATGAAATCCAGCTGTAGCCTATTGAAAACAAACAGACTGTTTTCCCTCAAGTTTCCAGAACATGAGTACAGACAGTGCTTCATTTTTACAGGTGTAGTCTTGTGCTGCAGGATTATAGAGGGTGGATGAGCTGTTGTAACTTTTGAGAGAACTTTTTTATGCCATTGGTGAGGCATCGGCAAAGCACTGCTGACTCTGTCGGTGTTATTTCCAGGGCTGTACCCAGTTCTGTGGATAAAAGCCTTCCATCTCCAGGGCTGCTGGTTGGGCAGCTGTCACTGGTGCGCTGTATGTTGGCCTCAACTGGTAAAACATCCTTTTGGAGGAGAGTTTATTTTAGAGGATGCAGAAATCTGTTTCCTCCAGGAAAAGGAGGGACTGTGTGTTGCTGAGATCAAGAACATTTGTGCCTTAGTGATGAATGCTCTTGTGGGAGTGGAAAGGATGAGTTATTTCCAAAAAAAAAACCAAACCAACCCAAAAAAAACCCCCAAAACCACCCCTGTGGTGATCATCTTAAAAGTTGATCCCTCCAAATGCAGCCTTGGGTAGGACGTAGGGGATCTTGGGTAGGAGGTGTGAGCTTGGCCCTCTGCAGAGACACAGACTGATGCACATTGATAGACTCCCGTGTTTCAGCTCCACTAAAGTGGTGCTTCGTTAGCAGAGGAGTGATTCACGGGAAGTGAATTTTGTCTTCTCTGTGTTAAAGTTTGAATGGGTAGCTAGTTTCAGATGCAGCATTTTTTTTTTCTAGATCTCTGCACACTGTAGTCATTACTTCTAAAGTTGAAACGTTAACTGCACTGTTACAAAAAGGTCCGTATTTACTTTCCTGGGCAGATGCTTAATAAATAACTGCTAATAACTTCCTTTACTCCATTTCAGGGAGCAGCAGCTGGTCTCAGCTATGTTGGGGCCTATGTCATTAACACCTATAAGAGCTACGACAACTTTCTGCAGGACAAGTATGCTCTGCTGCCAGCCACGATCATTATTTGCGTCGCTGTGGTAATGTTCATCATTGGGTTGATGGGCTGCTGTGCCACCTTCCGGGAGTCTCGAGTTGGTCTAGGGCTGGTGAGTGTTGCACGTTCTTGCATGTCCTCTTCTTCACCCTGTTGCATGGTATGGGAGGTGTTATGCTAGACCTTCTCAGGATGCACAGAACAAAAAGTAAAATATTATTCTGAAAGACACTGCTTGAAGCACTGCTCCGTCGCAGGAGTTACGTACTGCTGTGATGCACTGATTAATGGTGAGTGAGGTGCAGGCTAAATTATTAGCTGCGTTGCTTGTACAGGCAAATCCCCACAGTCACGGGCAGTTTCATGGCTCTGCCGCAGCTAGCTTGCTGGAGATAAGTGTGGAGAGTAGCAAGTATCGAGAAGAAGGGTGATGGTGAGGGAACAGGAGGAGAGGTGAATTTCCAAAGCAAGCAAAGAAAAAAAAAAAAAAAGTATTTTTCTGCTGACTTCAGTTCTCTGAATCCTGAAAGTATGGCCCCACTTCTTTTAGAATGAGTTTTAAAAATCTGGAAAGATTCAAGCTGAGTAACTTCAGGCCCCCAGCTCACGCCTTGAAGGCAACATGACCTCAGCAAGCAGTGCCCGATGTACCTAACTAAGCTGCTGCTTTATTTGTGCAGTGTCCTGTTTGACAGCCGCCTTGTGAAGGCTCTTCACACAGATCGCATCATGGCAGCGCTCAGGAGGCTGCCTACACTGGGCACAGATCCTGTGGAACCGCAGTCCTAAGTCCCAGCCATGCACAGTAACCTCCCGCTCTAAATTATTTTCTAGAAACTATTTTGATTGGAGAGGCAACAACAGATAACAAAAGCTTGCCACTATAAATTAATGTGATGGGTAATGCCCAATTGAATTCAAATGCTGTGGAATTCTTCCTTACAGTCTCCTTCTTTTACTTGCAGTTCTTGGCCGTTATCCTGGTTATCTTTATTGCAGAAGTATCTGCTTTTGTCCTGGGATTCGTTTACAGAGAAAAGGTAAGCAAAGAATTAGTGTCCCTGTATTAACCTAAAAGTAAAGAATAGATCTTGTGTTGTTAGAGCATTCCAGTATATCCAGTTTTCTTGCACTTCATCCCCTGTCCTGCAATCTGCAAGGCAAGTGGGAATGGAGATGTCACCATGCGGTATGTGGATCAGTCTTTGTAGGGAACATGGTGAATACATAAAGTACCTGGCAGGCATTGCAACAATCTCTAAGTTGGACTGAACAGTTTTTGATGCTCACAAAGGAGGGCTCTTCCATCAGGGGAGGCAAGATTCTATCCAGGAACATGATTCTGGTTAAGTGCTACCTGCATTTTATCTAATACATTGCTTTTTTTTTTTTTTTTAAATTTTTTTTTTCCTCTGACTTAGTTGGGATACAGATCTTTTGGAGTTTCCACTAGATAAAATTCTTAGCTCTCATTTTAAAACAATATGGGGGTTTTTTTTTCCCTCTCTAAATAGGTAAAAACTGACGTGCAAGGCACAATGCACTCAGTCTTTGAGAAGTATGGTGGGAAAAATCCAGAGTCTACTGTTGTGGATTACTTGCAAGAACAGGTAAGAAAACATTTAAATTGTCCTGAGAATTATTTAGAAAAGAACAACTGGGTCTTAAACAAGGAATTTGGGCTGGGAAGGGAGGGGAAGAGGGTCAGTGTGGTCGTATCCTGGAGCACAGCTCTGCAGCTGTGTTTAGCATCTGATCCTCCAAGGCAATTGCGGATGCTCTCCGCTTTGCAGAGTTGGCATTTCCAGGTTCCTGGTGTGAAGTTCCTGTAAATGAATGATCTGGCTGACACGAGCGACCTTTGGATCTGACCAAAGGAGTACATATGAATAACTGCTGCTGAGAATCCTGTACCGTAAAACAGAAAATAGAAATATGACTATATCCTACAACCTGTCTATCCTGCAACCTGTCACTTTAATATTAGAGCTTTCACAAAGAATAAACTAATAAGGAGGTAATAGCGTATGACAGGAAGTCAATCTATTATATCTACTACTGTCTTCCTGAAATACTGCTGCTTGTAAATCTGCTCATACTGCGGGCAGCTCTTGCCCAGTGTGCGTAGGAGGGGTTCAACTCAGCATGAGCATTCAGGTTCAGATAGATTCATACATCCCTGTAACTATCCTGTGTTTGGCAGCTTCACTGTTGTGGGGTAAAGAACTACAGTGACTGGACAACCACGCAGTGGTTTAATTCCACCGGTAACAACAGCGTCCCTCTGAGCTGCTGCAGGCAAGATATGAAGAACTGCACAGGGCGTCTGGATCAGCCGCAGGAACTCAATACGCGGGTGAGGATAAAGGGCGCGGTTTCACAGCTGGGCCATGATCATTCTCAGCCAGCCAGAACCGATGAGGAAAGCACTTTAGACAGGGTTTAGGGATAACTTCATCCAATTCTTTCCAGCAAGTTGTCCCCCACACCCTCTTCCTCCCATAGTTTTCCTCTAGCTAACTTCCTTCTCATACTATTCATAAAAGCTCCTAGATGATGAAGGAGAGGCACCAGTCTGGATGTTTGGTCTTGTCCGTCTGCTGGTAACAGTCCTCCATTTCGTGTTGCTACAGAAGCAACGTGACAAGGCCAGAGCACTAGCTATGGGCACGTAGTTGTTCACACAGATCTGGGGTAGGGGAAGAGACTCTTCTAGGATTGACCATGAATCCAGAGAAGTGCATACCAGGTTCTTCACTCTGGGGCACAAGCCCATGAATTGCATTTTACAGACACCATTGACCAGCTGGGTTAGCTCAGTTGGCTAGAACACAGTGCTAATAACACCAAGTTCATAGGTTCAATCCCTGCTTACTGCAGGGGGGTTGGGCTCGATGATCTCTCAAGGTCCCTTCCAACCCAAAGCATTCTATGATGATTCTATGATCTTCCTGGCTCTGAGTTTTGGGCACTTTTTTCAGTGACCTGAGCCAGAGGAGATTCTGAGAAGCAGCTGGAGACAAGAAGGCTCTGGGGAGACCTCACTGCGGCCTTTCAGTACTTAAAGGGGGCTTAGAAGAAAGGCGGGACAGACTTTTCAGCAGGGCCTGCAGTGATAGGACAAGGTGTAATGTTTTTAAACTAAAAGAGGGGAGATTCAGGCTAGATAGAAGGAAGAAATTGTTTACAATGAGGGTGGTGAAGCACTGGCACAGGTTGCCCAGAGAGGTGGGAGATGCCCCATCCCTGGAAACATCCCAGGCCAGGCTGGACGGGGCTCTGAGCACCCTGATCCAGTTGAAGATGTCCCTGCCCATGGCAGAGGGTTGGGCTGGATGGCCTTCAAAGGTCCCTTCCCACCCAAACCATTCTGTGATTCTATGAAATGTCAGTGCCTCTCACCAAGCAAGAGGTGAATGACAAGCCATCGTGTCCGGAAGACAAGACTGGAAGCCCTCAGGTCTGCAGTGCTTGGTTAGACAGGCCTTACAAGGTCCTGCTTCCTTTTAAGCGTCGGGGAGGAAACAAAGCCAAAAAACATGCAGCTGAATTACATAGTCTGATTTGTTTTCACCCATCCCTTTCACGGCAGGGCTGCGCAGAGGAGCTGGAGGCTGGGCTGCAGAGCGTTATCAATTACGCTATGCTTGTAATCCTGGGGTTTGCCATCGTAAAGGTAAATGGTTTATCTTTTCCCTCATGGAAAATAATAGTTTTTATCCTTTGATCCCGGGGCTTTTTCTTCTACCATGTCCTACTAGCCTACAGCCTTTTCCTGGCTCTGAAGTAGACCCAGTCCTCTGTTCCTCACTTGTTTTCTTCCAACTTTCTCCATTTCATCTGCCTGACAATAAGGGGAGGAATGCAAAAAGCTAGTAGGGGATTTGGGATGGCAAGTCAACACAGAATCCATCTTGGTCATTTGGTAGGAAGTACAAAAAGCTGGGTGTGCTAAAAGGCCTAGATCTAGAATTCTTTATTAAAACAACCAGCTTTGCTGTATTTAACTGGGATGTAAAAAATTGCTCATCAAAGTTTGTTTTTAGATATAACCCAATGAATAGTCCTGTGTTTAGAGACCTGGAATCAAAATGGACTAGAAATATGACGAGGAATTAAATCAGCGGGGCTATTTATAGACTTATAAGATTGAATTAAATGAAATGTGAAGCCAGATCATCTTGTGGGTGAAAACTAGATTTGAAAAGCCCTGATGTAAAACTCCTCGCACTTGGCACATCACAAAGTTGCGTAGGCATTTCTTCGAAGATCTGACCCATAAATTTTTAGCCTGGTGGTTGGTTATTGTTTCCTGTACCTGTTCTCCAAGGTCAGTAGCCTGTTCCTTGTTGACAGAGATTTGAACCATTTCATAGCAGCAAAGTGGTTTTTCTTTGAATATCTGCTCTCTGTAGAGGAGTGGCTATGAGGTGAGCCAGTGCAGAACACTTACTGTTTTAACATCCCACTCCTGAACTCAATGCAGAAGCCAAAATCTGTCCAGATGTCATCTCAGGACTGGGGCTTGACTTAGTTAAGCTTTTCTTTTCCTAATTTTGGCCCTAGCAGAGAGGTGATTTTTTTTACAGCACTTGGTCTCATGGGCTTAAATGGCTCAGCAATGTTGTTTCCATCATTTCCCTTCCCTCTATAGAAGTGATGAGTTCTACGCTCCTGTTACATGTCCCGTTACTATTTGTGATGCACCCTCTCACCGGGATCTCCCCTGTGATCATCTCTACAGGTTGCCTTAGCATATTCTGCGCTATCTTTATTTGCATATTTTATATGCTTAAATATTTTACAGAACTCATTTTAAGTCCAGAATAATCCCATGCTTTCACTGAAATTTTTCCCATAGTAAGATACCTAGGAATTAACATGGATGTGTAAATTAGTGGGAGAAACTAGGGAGGAAAAAGTTGAGCTGGAACTCTAATTGGAAATTGATATGCAAAAAAAAAATCACTTTCTGTAGATGTATTTTCTAAGTGTTTTTAAATATGAAAAGAATGTCCTTGCTATGAGGAAAAAGTCTAATGAACATATAGATGTTGGCTCTGATGACTGAAACAAAATACAGCAGAACTAAATCTCTCTCTCTCTCTCTTTTTCAGTTCTTTGGCATGCTGAGTGTCTGCGTGCTTACATGCAAGAGAGAAGACAGTGGATATCAGCCTCTTTACTCAGGGGTGTTTGCTTAATAAAATGCAAAGATCTGTTGGTTTGGGGGCTTTTTTTTTTTGTGTTTTTTTTCTTCCTGATGATAAAACAGACTTGTAAAGATGGACGCTAGAGGACAATTTATGAACTTCTTGCTAAATATTTTATTTTATGTACGTGAAACAGAAAGAACATTGTGTATTGACTTGGGAAAGTTTCTTATGGGTGACCTGAAATGGCAATTTCAACATTCCGTGCCCTACAGTAACGCACCCTGATCTTGCATACCACAGCTTTCTGTAAGGTTATTGTAGGTTTGGATTTGTGACTTTAGATAGCACCAGATGGTGTAATAGACTCCAGAAAGAATCTTTCTTCTGCGGTTCTTTCCTCTATCCTTAAAACATGCAGAAGAAATGTTATTTTTAATCACTAAACTGATTGAGACTGCAGGAGGGGTTTCAGCTGTCTGCACAAACATCAGATAATTTCCATGGCATGGTTAAACAGCAAAAGAAACTTCTGAATGCCAGGTTCAAATATTCTTCATAAGCATGGGGAGTTAGAATACGTTTTCTCTATTATCTGATGGTGTTTCTAATTTTTTTTCTCCTTCTTTCGGTCGTATGTTGTAATTCAGTTTACTGCAGAGGTTGTTAGTGCAAGACAACCCCCATGTTTCAAGTCTAGAACAGACATTTGAGTTGTTTTTTGAAGCAGCTAGCAAATGTGAAGAATCCCAGGTGAGGAGGTGATGTGTGTTTTGAGCTTTTGTGCTCAGGACATCTCTCTTTGGCTTGGTTTTTTTTGTCTTTTTTGAATTATTATTATTATTAGACATTAAAAATTGCTTATGAAGCAGGCCTTTTGAAATTTTTTTTTCTCCTTTTACTAATGCTTTTATGGTTTGTCTAAAAGACAAGACTATGTCTCTCCATTGAACGTAGAAGTTGCAAGAGTTACGAGACGAGTACGGGCTGGAAGATGGGAGTCATAGGACACGCTGGGTCGGTGCGGTTGTGTAGACTGAAGGTCTGACCACTTTTCACCGCTAAAAATGTTAAGACGATGCATTCTTGCACCAAGCAATTTCAATAACGTATTGTCTGGCGGCGTCAGGCGACTCCTCGTTTGCTATTTTCCTTTCTCCTTAAAGCTCCGCTGAATGTGGTCGCTTCTTGGATTGCATCACTGCTTTAAAAATGGCTCTTCCTTAACACATTTGTATATTAATCTGCTTCTGAGTTCTTCAGGGTTTTTTTTTTTGTTGTTGTTTTTTAGTTGTTTTTACAGCTGTGATGTGGGGAGGGAGGGAACTCCAAGCTATTCTTTGTTAGGCAATTGTGGAAAAGCAACAGTGGATTTGGGGGTTTTTTTTGCTTGGGTTTTTTTTTTTGAGAGAGAGATAAGCACTCTATCCTTATCAGTAAACCTTTATAGCTGTAGCTAATTAGAAGAAAAGGAGTTTGGGGTAAATGTAAAGTCTTTATTTATCTTCTCCCCCCCCCCCCCCCCCGAGAAAAAAAGCACTGGGCCGTGATGATGTTCTATAGGAGACGCGCCACTCTATCTATGTTGAAAAGCGACTTAATTTTTAGAGGGCTTATGTCTTCTGTCGAATGCCGAAATAAACTTAATTTATACAACAATTCCGTGTCTGTGTCGCCGGGGCCCGCTTCCCGGGGCA